GAGGGAGAAGGGAAAGGAGGAGAGGAGGGGAGGGGAGGGAGAAAAGAGGGGAGGTATATGTTCTTCAGCAGTAACACTGTTCTCCCTGGTCCCTGGTAGTGTCTCTCTCTCTCTCTTTCTCTCTCTCTCTTTCTCTCTCTCTCTCTCTCTCTCTCTCTCTTACACACACACACACACACACATTACGACCATCACACAGAAGAAAGTCTAAGGTTTATAGTGCAGTAAAACACACCCACTGTTGACTCTAGCCAACAAACACAACTGGTGGTGTTTGTATTAAACAAACACACAACTGGTGGTGTTTGTGTTAAACAAACACACAACTGGTGGTGTTTGTGTCAAACAAATGCACAATTGATGGGGTTTTTGTCAAACAAACGCACAATTGGTGGTGTTTGTGTCAAACAAGCACACAACCGGTGGTGTTTGTCAAACACAACGTGTGATGTTTGTGTCAAACACACAACTGGCGGTGTGTCAAACACATAACTGGCGGTGTTTGACTCAAAAACACACACAAACACGGTGTTTTCAACCGATACTTATTTCAAGATTTCATTTTGCAACTGCAAGTGTTCAGAAATACACCTTTATACAGTTTAATACATTAAATAAACTATATCTGTCTGATGTATATTTATAGCAGAGGGAAATACAGTAGACGGGTTTTCTCGGTGATTGGTTGGCTCTGTTTTGCGCACAGCCAATCACAGTCCTGCATACGGCTGTGAGAGTTCTGCTCGGGGATTGGCCGTTCTGCATTCCCAGCCAGCCAATGATATTCCTGGATTTAGCTGTGAGGGATCCGCTCGGGGATTGGTCCTTCTGCATTCCCAGCCGGCCAATCAGATTCCTGGATTTAGCTGTGAGAGATCCGCTCGGGGATTGGTCCTTCTGCACTCCCAGCCGGCCAATCAGATTCCTGGATTTAGCTGTGAGAGATCCGCTCGGGGATTGGTCCTTCTGCACTCCCAGCCGGCCAATCAGATTCCTGGATTTAGCTGTGAGAGATCCGCTCGGGGATTGGTCCTTCTGCATTCCCAGCCGGCCAATCAGATTCCTGGATTTAGCTGTGAGAGATCCGCTCGGGGATTGGTCCTTCTGCACTCCCAGCCGGCCAATCAGATTCCTGGATTTAGCTGTGAGGGATCCGCTCGGGGATTGGTCCTTCTGCATTCCCAGCCGGCCAATCAGATTCCTGGATTTAGCTGTGAGAGATCCGCTCGGGGATTGGTCCTTCTGTATTCCCAGCTAGCCAATCAGAGTTTTGCATACAGCTGTTTTTTATATAAACTTACAGCATATAATACACATAATTTACAGAGAAGGCCTGAGCTTGCTATCACCTGCAGCTCATAAGACTGCCATCCCCACGAGCCCCTTTGGGGCGGGGCAGATGGCAGACCAGAGGCCTAGCTTCTCCCTACGAGCCCCGTGAGGGCGGGGACTGTGGCCAGGCCTGGGGACAGTTGGTCCCAAAGATGAGGGGGTACTTGTACCTCCTCCCATGGGAGACTTAAGTCTCGAGACACTCCCCAGATAGGGAGCCAAGGCCGGGTCACCACTACTTGGAAAAGACCCGGGCTGGGAGAATACCGGCGAATAATAAAAAAAAATACACATAATTTTTAAAGGGGTGGAGTGTTAAGCCAGCAGAAGGCCTCGGTCAGATGACCAAAAGCTCCAGCTCCGGGTCATCATATGACTAAGAAAACACAGGAAACACTTGTTCTGTTTCCTGACAAACGTTATACCTAACATCTTCATTTACCCTCACATATCTTTATCACCTTAGATTAATGTTGTCTTTATCTATTCCAGCGAGAAAGATAGGTAGAGAGAGAGAGAGAGAGAGAGAGAGAGAGAGAAGAGATCGTCAGGAGAGAGAGAGAGAGAGAGAGCAGAAGAGAGAGATAGAGAGGAAAGAGCGATGGTGAGAGAGAGTAGAGAAGAGGAAGAGGAGAGAGAGAGAAGGAGAATGTAGCAGATTGAGATGAGAGAGAGAGAGAGAGGAGAGTGAGGAGAGTGTGAGAGAGGAGAGGAGAGAGAGAGAGAGAGAGATGGAGTGGAGAGAGAGGAGGAGAGAGGAGAGAGAGAGTTTCTCTGGGTACGAGAGCTGAGCTACGTTTTTACCCTCAATCATTAACCAGCATCAACTCTGGCTCAAAAAGCGGACTTTTGTTTCAGTCACACTTTAGTAAAATGGTCATCGCTCTGGAAAGAATAAAAGGTTAACCATTTTTGGCAATTTTTAACTGTAGAGCACCTGTGTGTGTGTGTGTGTGTGTGTGTGGTGTGTTGTGTGTTGTGTGTGTGTGTGTGTGTGTGTGTGTGTGTGTGTGAGTGTGTGTTGTGTGTGTGTGTGTGTGAGTGTATGTATGTATGGAGTGTGTGTGCTGTGTTGTGTGTTGTGTGTATGATGTATGTATGTGTGTGTGTGTGTGTGTGTGTGTGTGTGTGTGTGTGTGTGTGTGTATGTGTGTGTGTGTGTGTGTGGTGTGTGTGTGTGTGTGTGAGTGTGTGTATATGTGTATGTGTGTGTGTGGTGTGTGTGTGTGTGTGTGTGTGTGTGTGTGTGAGTGTGTGTATATGTGTATGTGTGTGTGTGTGTGTGTGTGTGAGTGTGTGTACTCACCTAGTTGTACTCACCTAGTTGAGGTTGTAGGGGTCGAGTCCAAGCTCCTGGCCCCGCCTCTTCACTGGTCGCCACTAGGTCACTCTCCCTGAACCATGAGCTTTATCGTACCTCTGCTTAAAGCTATGTATGGATCCTGCCTCCACTACATCGCTTCCCAAACTATTCCACTTCCTGACTACTCTATGGCTGAAAAAATACTTCCTAACATCCCTTTGATTCATCTGTGTCTTCAGCTTCCAACTGTGTCCCCGTGTTGCTGTATCCAGTCTCTGGAACATCCTGTCTTTGTCCACCTTGTCAATTCCTCTCAGTATTTTGTAAGTCGTTATCATGTCCCCTCTATCTCTCCTGTCCTCCAGTGTCGTCAGGTTGATTTCCCTTAACCTCTCCTCATAGGACATTCCTCTTAGCTCTGGGACTAGTCTTGTTGCAAACCTTTGCACTTTCTCTAGTTTCTTCACGTGCTTGGCTAGGTGTGGGTTCCAAACTGGTGCCGCATACTCCAATATGGGCCTAACGTACACGGTGTACAGGGTCCTGAACGATTCCTTATTAAGATGTCGGAATGCTGTTCTGAGGTTTGCTAGGCGCCCATATGCTGCAGCAGTTATTTGGTTGATGTGCGCTTCAGGAGATGTGCCTGGTGTTATACTCACCCCAAGATCTTTTTCCTTGAGTGATGTTTGTAGTCTCTGGCCCCCTAGACTGTACTCCGTCTGCGGTCTTCTTTGCCCTTCCCCAATCCTCATGACTTTGCACTTGGTGGGATTGAACTTCAGGAGCCAGTCGCTGGACCAGGTCTGCAGCCTGTCCAGATCCCTTTGTAGTTCTGCCGGGTCTTCGATCGAGTGAATTCTTCTCATCAACTTCACATCATCTGCAAACAGGGACACCTCAGAGTCTATTCCTTCAGTCATGTCGTTCACAAATACCAGAAACAGCACTGGTCCTAGGACTGATCCCTGTGGGACCCCGCTCGTCACAGGTGCCCACTCTGACACCTCGCCGCGTACCATGACTCGCTGCTGTCTTCCTGACAAGTATTCCCTGATCCATTGTAGTGCCTTCCCTGTTATCCCTGCTTGGTCCTCCAGTTTTTGCACCAATCTCTTGTGTGGAACTGTGTCAAACGCCTTCTTGCAGTGTGTGTGTGTGTGTGTGTCTGTGTGTGTGCGTGTGTGTAGTCACCATCAATGTCTCACTATTCCTTAATGTCTCTGTACATTCCCTTTTTTCTTGTTTTATCTCTTCCCCTCCCCCTTGTTTTCCTAGTGTTGTTATTATCTGCCTCTGCTGCCTCTGCTGCCTCTGCTGCCTCTATTCATCACAATTAATGTACCTTCTGCCAACCTTCCCCCTCCCCCTCTATCTACCTTCCCCCAGCTCAGCAGGGACCGATGGAGGGGGAGAGGAGCGATGGAGGGGGAGGGGACCGATGGAGGGGAGGGGAGGGGAGGAGTATAAGAGTGTACCCTCGGAGTTACACAGTACTGGAGTCAACTAGCTAACTAGCGGGGGTCGCCACCCCCTACCAGTTGGGGGGTGGCCACCCCCTACCCCATAGAAGGCTCGATCACCATCTGTAACCTTGTATCTATTGCCTAGTTCCTAGTTCCTTGTACCTAGTGCCGCGTTCCTAGTACATTTTGCCTAGTACCTAGTTCCTTGCACCTAGTTCCTAGTATCTAACTCCTAGCATCTAGTTCCTTGTACCTAGTGCCTAGTACCCTGTCCCTCTTTCCTTGTGTTTAGCCCCTTGTACCAAGTACCATATTCCTAGCCCATTTTGCCTAGTACCTTGTGCCTAGTACCTTGTACCTAGTACCTAGTTCTTAGTACCTACTCCCCTTTACTGGATAAATAAAAATATTATTTTATCTCTTCGCCTAGTAATAAAAGAGAGAGAGAGAGAGAGAGAGAGAGAGAGAGAGAGAGAGAGAGAGAGAGAGAGAGAGAGCAGTAATAAAGGTCACTTGCAGAGTAGGCATCAACAACAATATTGAGAGAACGTGTAGTTGAGAGTAATTACACTTACCACTAACAACCCACTGTAACAAGGGATGCTGGGGAGGGGGAGGGAGAGAGAGAGAGAGGGGGAGAGAAGGGAGGGGAGGAGGAAAATGGGGGGGGGGGAGAAGACTAGGGGTGGGAGATAGAGAGAAGGCTAAGGGAGGAAGATAGGGAGTCAGTTGAGGGGAAAGAGATAGGGAGAAGACTGAGAAAGGGAGATAGGGAGACATTGAGGACTGTGTAGTGTATCTGCGACATACACGTAATGTTAATAATAATAATAATAATAATAATAATAATAATTATTGGTATTATTATTATGTAATTATACTATGGCAGTATTTCCTACCTTCCATAGACCAGCCTTGTGTGACCATCCTCCCCCAGCTGCTCCTCCCCCAGCCTCCTCCCCAGACCCCACCTGGTTGGTTCTGGAGATGGGGGGTGTGTGGGGGGTGGTGGCCATGCCGGGATGGTAAACCATGTCGTGCTTGAGCTGGGGTATGGTGCTTGCTGGGGGCTGTCCGTGTCCGTGCTTGGAGATGTCCACGGCGGCCAGGGCTTCGGCACGGCTAAGCAAGCCATCGTCAAGGCCAGCCCCGAAGAGCTGGGTCTGGGGGGCTAGCGGTAAGGGCTTGTAGTCCTCCTGGTGGGGGAGATAGAGAGATGTGTTAGTGGGGGTGTTAAGGCTCTGGGGGGGGATTATGGAGAGGTGTGTGGGGGTTTGTTTACTATTGGTGTTCCAGTGCAAGTTTTCCAGTGCCGGTGTTCCAGTACTGGTGTTCCAGTACTGGTGTTCCAGTACTGGTGTTCCAGTACTGGTGTTCCAGTACTGGTGTTCCAGTACTGGTGTTCCAGTAGTGCTGTTCCAGTACTGGTGTTCCAGTGCAAGTTTTCCAGTGCCGGTGTTCCAGTACTGGTGTTCCAGTACTGGTGTTCCAGTACTGGTGTTCCAGTACTGGTGTTCCAGTACTGGTGTTCCAGTGCAAGTTTTCCAGTACTGGTTTTCCAGTGCATGGTTTCCAGTAATGGTTTCAGTAATGGTGCTCCAGTGCAAGGTTTCCAGTACTGGTGTTCCAATAATGGTGTTCCATGTACTGGTGTTCTACACACTTCCTTCAAAAACTATAATGTATCTATATATTAATATATATACATATATATATTATATATATATATATATTGTGTGATTGTGTGTGTTGTGTGTGTGTGTGTGTGTGTTGTGTGTGTGTTGTGTTGTGTGTGTGTGTGTGTGTGTGTGGTGTGTGTGGTTGTGTGTGTGTGTTGTGTGTGTTTGTGGTGTGTATGTGTGTTGGTGTGTGTGTGTGTGTGTACTCACCTAATTGTACTCACCTAATTGTGGTTGCAGGGATCAAGACTCAGTTCCTGGCCCCGCCTCTTCACTGATCGCTACTAGGTCCTCTCCCTCTCTGCTTTCTGAGCTTTATCATACCTCTTTTTAAAACTATGTATGGTTCCTGCCTCCTGTGTGTGTGTGTGTGTGTGTGTGTATGTGTGTGTGTGTGGAGCATTCATACACCTGTCGACGAGGCCGTGTTGCAGGTGGCAAAGCACACACAGGTGTCCGGAGCGGGGAATTGGCTGCTAATCATGGCTGGTGTTGTCAGTAAGTTCATTAGCGCTAATGATGAGCAGGTCAGTGTGAGCGCTTCTGTAACATGTCATCACAGCTCCTGCTTAATCCCAACCTTTCAGAATTATCTCAGTTATAATGGACTTTTCAGCAGTCTCTCTATCTCTCTCTCTCTCTCTCTCTCTCTCTCTCTCTCTCTCTCTCTCTCTCTCTCTCTCTCTCTCTCTCTCTCTCTCTCTCTCTCTCTCTCTCTCTCTCTCTTTCCCTCTATTTAAAGCTTTTACAAAGTTAAGCTCATAACTTTATTAACAAGCTAAGAGCTGTTACCTATATCAGCTCATTTTAAAGCCTTTTTATTGTTATGAGATATACAAATAGGGAACAAATGTGGGCCAGCTATGGGCAGCTGTGGGCCAGCTATGGGCCAGCTATGGGCCAGCTATATGCCAGCAATTTCATTTGATCAACTAACTTTATTTCGATGATATTATTATGCTGTACGAACATGTTCCAGACTCGATTCATCCTGGGAATGAATAATCTTGGATGACGTTGTGTTCTTGTGAAGGATACAGCCAGAGTGTAGTTGCTGCTGGCTGCCCGTCTTGTGTTGTAGAAACTCACTTCTCGCTGTCCTCGAAGTGGAACCAAGTGTGGTACTTTGACGATGTTGGCCTTGTACATGGCAGTAAGGCCGCCCACGTCCCTCCTGTGTTGAAGGCTCTGCGGGGTTCAGGCGAGAGATGAGTCTTCTTGCTATGTTCTCTACTCTGTCAAGAAGTCGCAGATGAGATTGGGGGGGAGGGGGGAGGGGCAAGAAAAGTGGAGCATCCTCAAGATGTGAGCGTATTGTGCCTCATACAGAAACTTGCAATCTCCACTGTCGAGCAGATGCGAGATACGCCGAAGTGCTGTAAGCTTAATGGCTGCTTTGTTTGCAAGATTTACAACGTGGTTCTTCATGGTCAGTTTGGAGTTGAATTTTACCCCAACGGTATCAAGTTCATCCACAGGTACCAACACTTTTCCTTCCATACTTACCAGTGATCCAGCGTTACCATCTCTCTGTCTCTCTCTGTCTGTCTCTGCATCTCTCTCTCTCTCTCTCTTTAACTCTCTCTCTTTCACTTTAACCCCCACCTGTCCCTTCTTTCGTGCAGAGAAGGGAGAGCATCAGCAACAGCAGCAGCAGTAATAGAGGCAGCTGTAACAGCAGTAATATTAGTAGCAGCGGCATCAATAACAGCAGCAGCAGTAGTGGTGGTGGCAGGAATAACAGTAGCAACAGTTACAGCAGTAATATTGGTGGTAACAACAGAAGTGATTGTAGAATTAGCAACAGCAGCAGCAGCAAGTGCAAAAAGAGAAGTAGAGGATAGGGGAAGACGAAGAGTCAGGAGGTGGCGGCAATGAGTCCATCACGTCGAGGTGGTCAAGGCGGCCGTCGAAGTGTTACTACCTCTGGAGGAGTCTTAGTCAGGGTCTTCAAAACTCCACTTCCTGGAGGAGTCTTAGTCAGGGTCTTCAAAACTCCACTTCCTGGAGGAGTCTAAGTCAGGGTCTTCAAAACTCCACTTCCTGGAGGAGTCTTAGTAAGGGTCTTCAAGACTCCACTTCCTGGAGGAGTCTTAGTAAAGGTCTTCAAGACTTCCATTCCTGGAGGAGTCTTAGTCAAAGTCTTTAAGACTCCACTTCCTGGAGGAGTCTTAATCATGGTCTTCAAGACTGCACTTCCTGGAGGAGTCTTAGTCAGATTCTTCAAGACTCCACTCCCAACAACAACAACAGGTCTTGCAAGACTGATATAAAGACTGACTTGAGGAATTTTATTTTTGTGGGAGAATTGTGAGTTGAAGGTGACTTCCCCCCACACGATCCCCCTTCTTTCCCCCAGCCTCTCATATCCCCCCACACGATCCCCCCTCTCTCCCCCAGCTTCTCATATACCCCCCACACGATCACCCCTCCCCCAGCCTGCAACTTACAGTGTTGCCAGAACCCTGGCGTCTGCTCTGCATTTTTAGAGCCGCAGGTTAAGCTATGTCACGACCCCGACTCTCAAATTTATTCTCGCGGTTATTTCGCCTTCATCTTCTGAGAGATTAAGACGCTGGAGCAAGTGAATGCTAAGAAGCGCGTGAGCAGCTGTTGCTCTGTGCTGCTGCGCTCTGCTGCTGCGCTGCTGCTGCTGCTGCTGCTGCTGCTGCTTGCTGCTGCTGCTGCTGCTGTTGCTGGGTGCTTGCTGTGCTGCTGCTGCTGCTGGTGCTGCTGCTGCTGCTTGCTGCTGCTGCTGCTGCTGCTGCTGCTGCTGCTGCTGCTTGCTGCTTGCTGCTGCTGCTGCTGCTGCTGCTGCTGCTGCTGCTGCTGCTGCTGTTGCTGCTGCTGCTGCTGCTGCTGCTGCTGCTGTGGTGCTGCGTGCTGTGCTGGGTGCTGCTGTGTTGCTGCTGCTGCTGCTGCTGCTGCTGCTGTGCTGCTGCTGCGCTGCTGCTTTTCTGCTGCTGTGCTGCTGCTGCTGCTGCCTGCGGTGCTGCTGTTGCTGCTGCTTTGCTGGCTGCTGCTGCTGCTGTGCTATGCTGTTGCTGCTGCTTTGCTGCAGTGTGCTGGCTGCTGCTGCTGTTGCTGCTGTATCGCCTGACTAGAGCAGAAGACATTAGTAAGGTCGCCATAAATTATTTACGTTCTGACACATGATAGGCTGCGACCACTGATAACATGGCCCCAAGATGGCCTTCAAGATGGCACCGACATGGCCCCCAAGATGACATCAGCATGGCCTCAAGATGGCACCAACATGGCCCTCAAGATGACATCAGCATGGCCTCAAGATGGCACCAACATGGCCCTCAAGATGGCATCAGCATGGCCTCAAGATGGCACCAACATGGCCTCAGATGACATCAGCATGGCCTCAAGATGGCACCAACATGGCCCTCAAGATGACATCAGCATGGCCTCAAGATGGCACCAACATGGCCCTCAAAATGACATCAGCATGGGCCCCAAGATGGCACCAACATGGCCCTCAAGATGACATCAGCATGGCCTCAAGATGGCACCAACATGGCCCTCAAGATGACATCAGCATGGCCTCAAGATGGCACCAACATGGCCCTCAAGATGACATCAGCATGGCCTCAAGATGGCACCAACATGGCCCTCAAGATGACATCAGCATTGGCCTCTAAGATGGCACCAACATGCCCTCAAGATGACATCAGCATGGCCTCAAGATGGCACCAACATGGCCCTCAAGATGACATCAGCATGGCCTCAAGATGGCACCAACATGGCCCTCAAGATGACATCAGCATGGCCTCAAGATGGCACTAACATGGCCTTCAAGATGGCACAAACATGTCCCCAACATGGCCCTCAAGATGATACCAACGTGGCCATCAAGATGGCACAAACATGGCCTCAACATGGCCCAAATATGGCTTTCAAGATGGGCCTCAACATGGCCCAAACATGGCCCAAACATGGCCCCAACATGGCCCCAACATGGCCCCCAACATGGCCAAACATGGCCACAACATGGCCCCAACATGGCCCCAACATGGCCCCAACATGGCCCCAACATGGCCTCAACATGGCCCTCAAGATGGTACTGAGATAAACGATCTCTTCAACACAGTTGATGGTAATAGAAGCTGTGACCGGGAGGTGCTGGTGGGGGAGGTGCTGGTGGGGAGGTGCTGGTGGGGGAGGTGCTGGTGGGGAGGTGCTGGTGGGGGAGGTGCTGGTGAGGGAGGTGTTGGTGGGGGAGGTGCTGGTGGGAGGTGTGGTGGGGGAGGTGCTGGTGGGGAGGTGCTGGCGGGGAGGTGCTGGTGGGGGAGGTGCTGGTGGGGAGGTGCTGGTGGGGAGGTGCTGGTGCGGGGAGGTGCTTGTGGGGAGGTGCTGGTGGGGAGTGTGCTGGTGGGGAGGTGCTGGTGGGGAGGTGCTGGTGGGGAGGTGCTGGTGGGGGAGGTTCTGGTGGGGGAGGTGCTGGTGGGGAGGTGCTGGTGGGAGGATGCTGGTGGGGAGGTGCTGATGGGGAGAGTGCTGGTGGGGAG